TCATATATACTCTTAAATGCTTCCGCAACTTCCTCACTGCTCTTTGATGTTAAAAAAACGAAATCTTTATATCTAGTCGCGCAGTCTATAACCAATAGTACATAGTAATATATTGGGCCATCATTATCTAGTAAATTTGTATCCATATTTTCATCATATGGTATTTTGATTAAATCACATTGGTGTACAGTATTTGGCTTCGTGATTTTAGAGTAACTGGCATAAGGTATATGCTTTGGTGAAGAACGAAAAATTTGATACATTGCTTGGCCCTCAAGCCATTTTTTTACATTAATAAATGGAAAGCTGTAGCCGGCTTTTTTACAAGCATCCCACAATCTCTTAACATTTTGATACAGACCTTCAGGACGATAATATAGTTTTTGCAAGGCAAGATGCTGGTCTAAATTATGAGCTTTTTAGGGATCGATATTAATCGTAGGTATTTGTTTTGCTATGATTTGATTTAGCTCTCGCGCTTTTTGAGGATCGATATAAATAACCGGTCTTTCGACTTGGTGCTCTCCCATTCCAATTTTTATAATTACAAAAAAAAGCTAGCATCTATAAAGTCAGATTCTATTTATTAGCTAGGGCACTTTTTTCCTTGCGGTTAACAAAAATATGTTTCTTGAATAAGTATCCTAGCTTTTCAAAAACTATGGAGTATTACGAGCTATGCAAATTAGACGAAACTGTACCTTCGAAAAAACAGAATCCATTTGCTCCTAAACTTTCATTTAGACTAGAAGTTGCGGGCACCTCTGAGTCAGGAAAGACAAAGATGGTAGTACATCAGCTCCTAGGAAGTAAATATCCAAAAGTATATCCATGGATGTCTGGTGAAAAACGTGGTCATAAAATACCAAAAGACGGAAGCAAAAATTTTGGTAAAAGATATATTCTGTGTGATGATCTAATTGTTGTTACGCAACACCAAGATGAAGAGCTATGGGAAGTAGTACAATGTTTTTATGAATTTATAGCCATGGATAAGCAAGCTCCATGGTATGAAAATGTGAGATTCAAGCTAATCGCACCTGAAGATCTATCTGATATTTCATCTTTCAAAAGAACTGGCCGATCTACTGTTATAGTCTTTGATGATCTTGCTGGGTAACCTTTGGCAACTCAGCTAAAAATTGTTCTTTTCTTTAGATCAGGCAGACATGAAGGAATTAGCTCAATTTATATTGCCCAGCTTTTCTATGAAATCCATCAAAATATACGCAGAAATTTTAAATATATTTCTTTGCATCGTGGATGTGGAACATTAGATAGTATAAAACGAATTCTTAAAGATATGTATGATGATTATGAGCCTCTAGCAAAAAAAGTTTATGAAGTGATAAAAAAATATTTCGTGGTTATTGATATTCGAAGACCATCTGATGACCCCTTATCAATTAGATTTAGATGGGACAAACCTTTAAAGGATTGGCAAAATGATTGATTCGTGCTTTGTGGCCTCATTCATATCCATAAGGTAAAGTTTCATAGGGGGTAGTCCTGTCTTTTGGTTCTTCTGCATATCAGATTGGAAATGCATAACCTTGATTTCTATTTAAGGGTATTTTATAGTTCAGAATATTTTTTTCTTCATTGTAAGATGAATATAGACGAGAGAATACGCACCTTAAGATGTATATGATTAGTAATACTATTATGAAGATGATTGCATGCTGAAAAAATAAGGAATAAGGCTATTCTGAGGTTATTTCGGGGCTAGTGATTTCGTTACCTTTCTCCTGTCCTTTATCACCTCCAATCGCTTCATTTTGCTTAGATTTTCTGGATGTTTTTGAAATATGCTCTAATAAAAGAGAATTAGTTTCTTGAAGAAGGGAATCTTTCTCTATCACTGCCTTTTGTGCTAAAAGTAAATCATCTCTCACCCGCATTAATTCATCCTTTTTTTGGCCAGTGTATCTTCTAACTCCGTATTTGCCAATTCTAAACTAATATTTTCGTCAGATAGTTTTATGTATTCCAGTTCAGATTTACGCTTAAGAAAATCCATCTCTGATAATCTCTTTTGTACCAAAGAAACATCCTTCTCTAATTCCTCTATTCTTTATTTGAGAGCTTGTATCTCTTCTAATTTTGTAGCGATCTCGCTCTTAGTACTTGCAAGAGAAATCTCTTTTTGATTAATCTCATTTTTGAATTCTCTCGCCTCATCTTCAAGCTGGCATACACGCTCTGAAAAACTCTCATTATTTTTTATCAAGAGACTGTTTCTAGTGCCAAGCTGAATACCTAAGCTTAAAGCGATATCTAGATCATGTTTTAAACGTTGGTTCTCAAGCTCAGTTCGGCTAGATGGATAACTATTAAATGGTGAATCTCCAAGTTTATTGCCAGATACCAAGGGTGTCCCATTATTTATTTCATTTAGCGTATATATGTTTGCCATATGAATTTATTTGAAGGCAAAGTTTTTTATGATTTTTTTTTCCTGACGGCCATCAGCGAAATTATCATTCATATGTATATTTTTTCTTCGAATATGGAAAAAAGGAGTTCAGAATCAAACCAATATCAAACTAATAAAAGACTAATAACAAACTAGTTTAAAACAAATATGATATTTGAAGTATATATATCCTAAACCTATTTTTTATTTGAATCATGATTATAGCATGCTACACTGTAAAGAAAGCGAACTACATATATGTAACAAACCAATGCTAGACTAATGCCAGACTAATGCCAGACCAATATCAAATAAATTTTCTACAAGTTTTTTATTAGTATTATACAGATTTATTACTAGCAAACTATGAGCAAAAAACAAACAACCCATACTCGTAAATTTCTTAGATCAGATGCCCGACGCTTGTCATCTGAAGCTATTGAAGAAATTAGAAATGCTCAGAATAATATTCCAGATGCTCGGTGTATTATGTGTAAAAAGCATCGTATAGGATCAACAACATATCAAAAAATAATTGATAATAAGAGGCCTCCTGAACCTACCGAGGAATGGCGTAGAATCATAGAATCTGTTAGCATCTCTGACCAGATTTCAGAAAATAATCAGGAATCTTTACATGATACTTCCTCCTCTACTATCATACAAGAAGACTGGATCACTCATACGGAATATCCTATGGATAATGAGAATGATGCAAATTCTAATGGTCTGAATACAGTAACTAATGGGCGAAAAGATAAAGTTAATTGGAAAAAAAAGGCTAGTATAAAGCTAAAAGACGAATCTTCTTCTGCAGATAATAAAGTAGCCAATTCTTTTAAAGATGATACATCTAGACGGGAATTTGATCTTAATAAATTAGTAAATATTACTAGAGAAGCTGTTATGCATCTGATCTATTCTCCATAAGTCGTGAGCATTTTTCTGCAAGAATATTACCTGCATTTAATGCCATGTCAAGCCATCTCTCAGTTTTTATTAGTCGCTCTTCAAGCTCTTCACACTTTTTTTTAAATCCTCCTCACTAGTCGGGTTAGAGGAATCGGTAGATACTTGGTCCTGATCTTCTTTTGGTGGATCTTCAATTTCTGGAGTTTTGCTAAAAGTTGGGATAATGTAAGCTTTCCCATGTAACTTCATTCGGAATTGATTTTTATTTGGATCGAGGACACCTTGAACTTTCCTAATCCATGTCATACCTAAACATAATATTGGTTCTGGTTCTCCATTATCAATATGAGTAAAATTTCCAGTAGCTGTTACAGTTTTACCATTCTTATCCTTTATACTGATTGGTACATCAGTAAACCATCCCAATGAATCGGTAATGTGTTTGGAATTACCTTTTATTGCGAAGTCCGATGGCTTATCTTCTTTCCATCCAAGTGCATTAATTGTTGCATCATTCGCTCCCCTTAACTCACTTGCACTATCTAAAAAAGAATTAGATATCGTTAAATCATCTATTTTAGCATTCAGATATTGTAATGATGAAAACCACTCATCTGATATTGATTCTTTCTTCTGAACTGTATGAGACTGACACATTTTTCGCATTGCCGGTGAAAGTTTTGGAAATAATTCATCATATGTTTTTGGCTGACTGGACTCTAGAGGTAACTTATCATTTAATGGTAGTTGTTTTTTTTTCAGGTGTATAATACCACGCATTTTCTACTTTATCATAACCATCTTCCTCATTATTTGAATCTGGAGGCGTATATTGGGGCTGTATAGATGGAAATTGAGGATAGTAACATTGAGTAAAATTGGATTTAGCTACAGGATTTAACCTTGGGCAATTGTTTTTCTTATGCCCTTCCTGTCCGCAATTACTGCAATAAAAAGGCTTTCGAGATTGATTATTAAGTGATATCCTACCAAACTTAGATGTCATCTGACCAATTTCATCTATTTTTGATTCTAATCTATCGATTCTAGATGATTGCAACTTTTCTGGCTTTTGCGGTTTAGGAGGTGGCCCATAAGCTTTTGCGACCACTCTCATTATTTCTTCCCTAGTAAGTGTATTAGGGAAAGGATTAGCGCTTTCATATGTATCAAGAAGCTGTTCCATATTTTTAGGAGGAACTGGTGGAGGTATTTTTTTAGTTTGCCGGACCATTTGTGATTGGAAATCGGCTTTTTGTTTTTCTAATAAAGACTGGTATTCAGTTTTTTGCTGTGCTAGTGCATTCTGAATTGCTTTTTGCATATCTTTGAAAGATATTCCTTGCTGTTGTGAGGCTGAAACAGGTGAAGGTTCATATATTTGCCGAGATGTTTGATTAGATACTAGCGGATCAGATGTTCTATCTCTTTTATGTCTAGCTATTCGGCGTAATTCTATCTCATAAAGCTTTTTAGCTAATTCATCTAATGGCAAATGTTCACCAATATCTTCAGCTTTTTCAAGCCATAAAAGTGGTAAAGCATCTAAGAACTTTCTACGTAATTCTTCAGGTCTATAGTTGGCTCGTCTACCTATTCGTAATATTTTTCTATATAATTCATCTATAGTCATGTCTCCCTTTCTGATTGTTCCATACATCAAATCCCGAAGTTCCTCTTCTACTGTAGGGAAATGAGTTTTTAGCCACCATACGGCTTGACCAAATCGAATACCAGCTACAACTACTGTATTTTCAGCATTAGCATTTGGTGCATTTACAGGATCATTAGTAGGACGGCCACCTGCTATACGCCAGTCTTCATTCCAAGCATCTTCTACAGCTCTTAACTTGACTATTGCATTTCCTGGTTGGCCAACAGCCTCATTTAATGCATTAGCTCCTATCTGTACTGCAGTTCGCCCATTTACTGCAACTAAGTTAGCCTGCCCTGTATTATCGAGTAAATTAGTTAGCTCCCAATTCTGCTTTGTAGTAATCTCATCATCGAACTATTCTAAAGTCCTTCCTCTCATACAGGCTCTTAAATGTCCTATTGCATTATCTCTTCCTATTGGAGAACCTGCTACATTATCATTTGGATCTATTTCCCGATTCTGCAAGTCTAGTCTAAGTTGTGCAAGAAAGTCTGGGATACTATCATCCCAGTCGAAATATGGATGAGGTATTCCTGCCATATTTACTTGATTAGGTGGATTATTCTGAAGCGCCAAAATTTGTCCCTGTAAATTTAAATTATTCTGGCGCTCTGCTTGGGTCTTATTTTTCTATTTCTCATATCGTTCATAGAGCCTGTCTCGATTAAATTCTAACAGACCTATATCTCTCTACTTCGCTGTAAGTGGTGGGCATTTCGCTGATACAATAATTGTAAGGCAAATTTTTCTTGTACCAGCATACCTATACGAGTTTGCTTTCTTCCTATCATATCTAACATTCTATTAACCTGGTTTCGGCCATTAGTTCGCAACTGTTGAAGGTCACCAACAACCCTATCCATCGCTCCTTCAGCAAGATCTCTTCGCGTAATAGCAAGATCTCGCTCAGCCTCTGCATCATATCGCCTTCTCTGCTTACGGACTAAATCCTGATGCAAGTTATTCTCTTTTCGGCGAATTTGTCTTGTTGCCCTTTTTATTTGATCTATCAGAATATCTCTAGCCGTTGTCCTATTATCCACGTAGCCATCTATAGCATTTGCTAGCTCAGTGATTGTGGCCATATTATCATCGGAATTATACAAGTCTAGAGAATTCCCTCGTTCAGGTAAATTTTTTCGTGATGAGATGCTTCTGATCTGGCATCGCAATTTCTCAACTTGTTCCTCAGATTTTACTAACCGCTCTTCTAAACTAGAAATATATTTTCCTTTATCTCGCACATCTTTCCTAACTTGATATAGCTGATTTTTAAGGCTGGAGACTTCAGATTTCTACTCCACTATCTCTTCTTCTGAAGCATTTTCAAGGCGCTCTATCTCCCTATTGAGATTTTGGATTTCTTGCTCACACCGGGAATAATCTCGCTCCAGTTGATTAATTCGTCTTTCATTCTGGCGATTAATATCCACTTCTGTTTGCAATTCACTACGAAGATGATAGTTCTCCTCTTCCAGCTCAGCTTTATGTTCTTCACATGTTCTTCTCTGTCTTGGATGAGGTCTGTGAAATAACATTCTTTTTTCGTAATTATAAAAGAGAATGGGAGAACCTTTGATTTATATAGATCCTTAAAAAGCGCGTGATCTTGACCAGGAACTCACTTTGCAGAAGTACAAGGAAAAAAAGTATTCTGGCTAATGAATAGAATCTGACTTTATAGATGCCAGCTTTTTTTCCGCCTCCTGTATCTGCATCTTCAGATTCTCAACTTCACATCATAATCTTTTATTTGCAGTAACCCGCTCCCTATATTCCCTTTCTATGTCTTGCATGAATTTCTCAAAAGTTCTTTTATTATAATCAAACAGATGCTGAGATAGCACCTTAAGCTCATTCACTACCCGGCGATTATTCTCTTCCTCATGATCATGGGCTATTTCTTCGGTCTGGACTCCACTATCTACAACATGTATAATCGGTAATGCTGGGGATACATTACATTCTGGCCAGCTTTGAGGACGTAATACTTTTTCCTGAGCCATAGTTTTACGTTTCTTCCTATTTAACGAATTCTCATAAACCTCTAATGTGTGTCTCAAATAAGATTCAATTCATTCAGACTTTCTGAAAATAGATTCTAATGGAACAGGATCTTTAGAATGGTGCAAAAGTTTCTCACACGCTCTCTTTACAAGACTTTCAGGTAGTCTATCAATAATATGTCTATAGTCGGAATGGAACATTTTATTAGATATAGTTTTGCGCAAAAAAAGTTTGCATGCAAAACCCATCTATAGACTATAGTGGTACGCGCCTATATCGCGAGTTGCGTCACATCTGACAGACTAGCAGATCGGCAACTCCATCATGTTATCGGTTTTATCATGTGATACAGACATTAAATTTTTTATTAATTCATTCTGCGTTTGATTATCTTCCAATTTCGCAATTCTGGCCTTAAGCTCAGCATTCCTGGCTTCAATCTCAGCAAACTTCTTTCTAAGTTCGGCATTTTTGACCTCAAGCCTGGCAATGCATATTTTCAATGAATCGGTCTCATCTATTTCAGGTTGCATGCTTGTGTAATGTAGTATTAGTATGTTAATATTCAAAAATAAAAAACAGTTCCCTGAGGAAACGATCAGTCATGTGATTTTGGGCGAACTCAGTTCGCTGAAATTTGCCAAGAAAAAATTTTTATTAATGTTAAGATAAAAATACAAGGTCAGGTATAACCCACAATTTTTTCTATGCTAAAATAACAATACTAAATTACAATTGTAGGATTTGGGATATATAATAAAATACAAGACAAAAAATTCTAGTCATCTCGCTTAGGTGAAGAAACTGTAGAGCTTTTTTCTACATTCCGATTTGATCTTTTTAAAGGTGCATTGTATAGTATACTCATATTAACGATTAGAATATTTCGCAATATCAGTAATGATTCTACGAATTTTTCTACAATTGACGGATCTGAAAGTTGAACCAGGATTTCTGATTCATGGAGACGATAATATCGATGGACCTCGCTCATATCCCTTATAAGGATACTTAAATATAATTTCTTTCCAGCTATCTGTACCCCAATAATCCCAAATTCGTCCTTATCAGGTTTGCAACTTTTACGAGTCCAGTACATGCCATCATTGACCTCGCGCCACAGCTTCACTTGATCATCTCTTTCCTTTTGCGCTGTACATGATAAGCGTGAGCATTCGGTAAATAAAAGTTCGTAATTTTTCCCATTGTGTTTCATTACGATCATAACGTCTGGCCGTCTCCCAGATCGCCCATCGCCTTTCCTATCTGCACTGGCACTACTTTGACGTTCAGAGCTACTAACGAATGTGGATTTTCCTAGAGGAAGATTCTTCAATGTTGCCCGAATCGCTGGTACTATCACATTGGTCACGTAAGTACCTTCATTCAGGGATTCCACAAAATTCGCTCCAAATGCAGGATTATTCCAAGAATCGCTTCTAGTATCAATGGCAAGACATAAGCAGTGAGCAGAGAGTGAAAAATCACAAAATATTATTAAAAAATACTTACAATGTATCCAAAATTCTCTCCGCGATTATTGCAAGCTCGTTTTCTGTTTCTTTCCATGTCCCATCATGTATAAGTTTTCTTGGAAGATCAATTTCACGATTTTCAATGAAAGTAGCAACGAATTCATTACATTTTCTTTTCACTGCGGACGGAAGAGATAAAGGTACCATTTGTCGTACTGGCTTCATAAAAGTATGCTTAAATTGGCCCGGCAACTTCTTTACAATTTCCGACTTGTCAGAAATTACTTGACTGGCTAGAGGGTCCATCCATGATAATTCAGAAATATTCACATTATCTATACCAAAGTATAGATGCTGGTTAATCGGCGTCGTTGTATTTTTCTTGAGTTTGGCCTTCAGCTCATTTATATTTTTTTTAATCTCGTCAGAGTTAAGAGGTCTTTCCTTATTCGTTTTAACCGCTCCTATATCACGCAAACTACAGACTCCTTCAAAAGCTATCTCAAACTAATATAATCAGATGATGCGTTAGTTTCAGCAATATACCAATTTCATCATTAAAAAATGCATGCGCTATCAGTACATATGCAAAGTTATCATCTTAGTGTGGCCATCACGCCGATGAAACCTTGTGTGATACTAAAATAACTACATAATATAAATTAACCATCCCCTCATGCATCGAGAAAAATTCTTGGGGCAGAGCTAATGGAATGATTAAAACATAAGCGATAGTTTAAACGCCCTCCATGCAGTTCAAAGAATAGTTCCTTTTGTTGCAGGCTAATAGGATGAATATACTATTATTTCAGACCTCGTTCCTGCGAGTGGATCACATAATATCGTCATCTAGTGGAAAAGAAATATTAATAAAGCTTTATAACTAACCTGGGGAAGTATTCGGAGAAGTTTTAATTGGCACGAAGGTTCTTCGGTATATAGATTACTAGCAAACCCTATGGCTTGGTCTACAACCCTTCTTAAATCATTTTGCGAAATCCAGGGATCTTCTTCTATTCCCTGATAAATGACCGAGGTGGCTGTAATATGTTCTTGATTAGCGGTTACTAAAAAATTATAAATTTTGGAATATAGTTCGGAAGACATGTTAATGTAGTTAATATTAATAGAGAATAAAAGAAACAAATGCCATAGGTACCTTTTAAATGATTCCATTTGATGTCTCTCTAACTCGCATTCATGTTGGGGGGAAGAGATAGGAGAAATATGCGAGGCACTTTACGCCAAAATTTTGTGTTAGAGAATAAGAGCATGTGGAATGTGCATTGAAGATCTCGACATTTTCAAATGCGTTGGGGATAATGCATATACGAACTTTTTTTTCACCCGACCGCTTAATACTAAGACCCGGCAACATTATATAGATATAACTCCAGTCGAAATCTAGTAGGAATAGGTTGTAGGAATAACCTGTAGCTCTGGAGGAAATAAACTCATAAATAAATGCTATTCAGATAGATAGGAAAAAAATTCGAAATATTTTGGGGATCGATTTCTTATGTGTGAAAATTAATTTGTCGCACAAGCAGTCACACAGAGCTACAGCTGATTTGGGCGGTGTATCACTTATTACATCATATACCCTTTAACGAGGATCGCAAAACGTGCTAATTTATGTCGCACGCCACACTGGCATTTGTCTTATATGATAATAGTTAATAGTAGATAGCAATTCTAACAAAAATCTTCCTGAGAAATCAGGAGTGGGCCCGTATGTTGCCCTATTCAATCGTCGTTCTAACTGATGTTTCTTAGCTTCTATCCATCTACTAGAAGAACAATAAACATACTCCTCATATGGTGGGGTTAATTTGATTGGATTAATTATTCCAATGTATTTTGAGTAATATTTTCTAAAATAAGCATAAAACTCTTCGCAAGCTATAACATATTCTTCTTGCGTCTCAGGATTTTTTACCTTCTGATAATACCCAAGTATACCTAAGAATTTCTTTCTATCAGGAGTACCATCATTCCTCACCGCCTCCCAAACTTGTTTTGCCAAAGATTCGGGTCTCTTCTTGTAATTCCTATAAGCTCGTTGGATAACTGTTGCATAGAAATTTTTAAAGCCATAATTATAGTATTTAGGAATCAAGAATTCCCAAGATCGCTTCATTAATCTTCCTGAAATACTTCACTAAAAATAGTTATATATTAGAGGATCTAACCCAGAATAGGCAGATCATGCATAGCGATTTTCTCCATATATATGAAGCATTCCACAATTTCACTAGGTGATCACCCATGCAGATTACATACTGAATTCTAGTTATACATTTTATTGGATAGCACAAAAAATAAATTAATTCATTATATTGTATTATTTCGCAAAGCGCCTTACAAATAAAGTACCTGGCTAAATAATTATACATGAATATGAAATATACTATACTATTTTAGTAAAGAATTTAAGACTTGGAAAACTCATTGCACATACTCACAATTATTGTTAAAATCTGAGAAATCTATTATACTAGACTTTCCCTCGATAATAGTAGAATATTCAGATTTGAAATAGTCGATTTCTAGCGAATCACATAGATATTGTTTGCCTGCTTTTTTACACATATATCGTGCATATTCTGAACTTTTAACAAAGTTTACAACAATATTATTATTTACTTTACTAATACGGTGATATTCAGGATTTGCTAGACATTTTAACATAAGGGACCAATCTCCATAAGTAACGATTCTATAGCCTTGCTGATGCAATTTTATAAAAGTAACTATATATGCTACAGTATTTAGGCGATTATATAACTGGAATTTCTTCATTTCTGCCCAATAACTAGGATGATAATAATCATATTCCTTGTACCCTGTGGCCCGTTCGGCTAGATATTTTTTAATATATTTTTGAGCAATATTTTCGTTAAATGCTTTTTTAAGGCCATTGACATATTCATCGGTATGCAAATCATATTCTTCTTGAGTCTGGGGGTTTATTCTCCTTTCAACTAGTGAAAATATACCTAAATATTTCTTCCTATCGGGAGTACCATCATTCCTCACGATATTCCAAACTTGTTTCGCCCATGTTTCAGGTCTCAACTTGAAAGTTCTTCAAGCCCGCTGGATAGCTTTTGTACTGTTAATTAATCGATATACAGTACTTTTCCTAATTTCTTTTGAATCACGAGAGCAATAACATTCAGAGCTTTTTCTGTATCTAAAATAAATACTATCATAAATTTCATTAATTTCATCATCACTTAATTCTGATACTATTTTTTTCACATTTTTCTGTACAGGTTTAGAATATGTAATAAGCCTTTTAGCAGTTTTAGTAATACATTTATTCAGGTGATCATTAGCACATTCGATGGTATTTTCACGAATAATTACTAAGGAGTCGCATACAGTGCAATAAATATGAAATGAGCGTCTTCCAGCTTTAAATTCCCCATCTATATATGATCTTTCAATCATCTGGATAAACCCATTCTTCGAGAAGTATTTTGGGTTATATTCGAGAAATTTCTTGAATGGATAACGAACACGAGAATACCACATTTCTGGTGTTTCACCACTATACCTATATTGCAGATTGTTCAACGCCTGCACTACTATAGGATTTAAACCAGAATAGTAATTAGTTTTATCCATTTTTATGGTTTATAACTGATCTTAGTGATTTATACGTTTTAACGAATTATAGCAATTTCAGTGTGTTATATCGATTCTTTATCAACCTATACTAAATAATATCATAATTCAAATTTATAGCGATTTTATTGATTTGTAGCCGATTTAGTGAGACTACATACTGTTAAACCCAAATTCATTTTTATTGTTAGTAAAGCTAACGGATTTATATAGGGTCATATGCTAATTTTATACATGCGGTTTGTGGATCTCAGGAAAGAACACCTTTTTGAACATGAGAGATCTGCTGTGTAGATTGTGATCCGAGATCATCCTCCAGGAGGTTTCCAGAACATTCTCAATTCTGTGTACACATTTATATTTTACATGTATATTGTCGAATACATCACATATAAAGTTAAAAAGGTCAAACCGATGTTGGCGAACAAATACTTTTATTATTCAATTTATGTAAAGTTTAAGAATCACAAATCATGATACAAAAATAAATTATAAATACATATTGCAGTTACATAATAATAATGTTTTCTAAAAATAAAGTTTACAACGTTAATTACTGCCTTTGTTTGAGAAATTCTGGATAAGACCACATACCTAATCTTCAGCTATGACGGGAGCTTGTAGAAGAACTTGTAGGATTAGGATTAGGTAGAGTTTGTAGGATTAACAGGAATCACTCTGGTACTATTCAAGATTTCAAGGGTATCAAGTGGGATACTGCTGTTGCCCACATTGGAAGCACCTGATTGACCAGCTTCTTGTTGATTTGCTGAATTAGCATTTCCACGAGTATTTAAATGATCATGAAGTACCCCAGCTCCATATCCCAAACCGGCTCCTGCAACAGCGCCAGCAAAACCACCTACAATTTCGAGTACCGGTCCACCCGCCCTTCCTACAGTCGCTCCCAAAGTAATACCACCAGTGAAACCAGTGCCTGCTCTGACAAGTCGTGCGGTAGGTGGTCCTGGAAAAAAATGATGAAAATTTTAGAAAATAAAGAAAAAACCAACCCAGTTATGAATTAGACTAACCAGACATTCTTTTAGTTTTGAAGTAAAAAATTTAAAAAAAGTAATGTACTTATTTACAGTATTGGGAAGAAACTGCAAATAATGAACAGAAAATTTAAAGTATATATATATGAATACAATGACTAATTGAAATGAGTGCTCGAATTAGGACTTTCATTTCAAAATTGGGCATTTTTTTCGTAGATAAGATAAAAGAAAATGACATCCTGCATTAGGACTTTCATTTCAAAATTGGGCGTTTTTTTCGTAGATAAGATAAAAGAAAATGACATCCTGCGTTAGGACTTTCATTTCAAAATTGGGCGTTTTTTTCGTAGATAAGAGAAAGAGAAATGACATCCTGTGTTAGGCGTTTTCTAAGAAAATGATAGCTCAAATTAGAACTTTCATTCAAACTTGGGCTATCTATTACTCGGATCTTCGGAAAATTCATTCCGCGTTTACTGCAATTGGTAACACAATCGATTCTATTACTTTTTGCCAATTTACATATTCCAACGCATATACTGTACATACATACAATTCATAAACTGAATAAAAAATTGTTAGTATTACATTTTCTCATATATCATAGGCACAGTAGATTACATTATATTTATTATATACGCATAAAACATGCACACATTTTTAAAAAATTCAAAGTGAAATCTTTATTATATTTTTTTTCATTTTTTCGTAAAGCAATGAGAAAGGACCGGCCGGCTAAGTAAAAAATGAAACTAATAGAAAATATTGGAGTAGATCTCGTTTAAAGGGAGGAATTACGCTGGCCCCTAAACCAATAATATGGCAGTTCCTTCTCACTACTCCGCATTATTATTATTAAAACTATTTACCCATGCGTTTATCTGATTAACAGTAGGAACTGTACTGCGACCAACACCACCATAAAAATTTTTCACTGTTGAGATTTTAATATTCCCTCCAAGACTACGAATATCTACTTCTACCGAGTAACACATCTCATCAATAGTATAATTCCTCGCCTTCATAAGTCGATCAAAGTGTTGTTTAAAGCGAATTTTAATGTCTCCAGTAATATCAAAAATTCCAGATAAATTGGAACCTTCAGATGAAGAGCTTGAACTAGTTGAAGCTGAGGCAGAGTCTAGCGAACTTCCCAGTCCAGATCCATTAGTTTCAGATTCATTGGACACGCTTTGTTGATCAAAATCGGCTCTTCGGACAACCGCATAACGTTGGGCCAAATCATTTTGAAGAATTTCAATAGAAGCTTTGATTGATGTAAATTCAGACGAAATGTTTCCAAAATCATTATGGCAGGCTTCTTCGATCCTATCAAGCCTTTTGGTAACAGTACTGATCATTGAAAAGATTTTTTGCGTCTCCTTAGTGAAGTCATCATCACGTGCCTTGTTTTTTTCGGCTTCCACAGTAAGTTTACTATTAAGTTCAGTATTAATCTTGCTGAACCTGGCATTAACTTCTTCGTTAAGTTTATTATTAAGTTCATTATTGATTCTGTCAAGCTTCGCAGTGAAAGTAGAATTAATATCGGAAATACATGTGTCAAATTTATCGTTAAGTTCAGTAAAGATCTGGTCATGAAGTGACCTTTTTGGTATATTATTTAGTATACCAAGATCGATGAGAATTTTGATGACATGTGCGAAAAGTTCATCGGAAATTTTTTGTTTGAGATTTGACCACACGGTAGCGATCCCTATGATTAACACTGGACCAATGAACAAAAAAACAGCGGTTAAGGTCAAAAAAGGCATGACTCCAAAGAGTTGAGCAATGACAAACTGGACATGATTAGGTAAATTGATGCGTAGTAATTTTATTGAGATTTTATTGGTGGATCAAGTTTTTTTAGATATTAACGCTTGATTTTTTTATAGCAATAGTTATCTTGCGTAAATGCGCTGGGAAAAAGGTTTATTTTATACTGTATGCCTACTACGCGCAAAAAGAGAATTTAACCTGATTTAAATAGATCAAATAAAAAATTACGTTGCTTCATTATGTGTACTTGTCATTATTACATTTTTTCATAATTATATTTTTTCCACCTAAAGCAATAAAATGACGGCCTGGATCCCGTCTAATAATAACAAATGTCTCTCCCTGAATTTAACAATACGGCTTAAAATTAAATCCGACGAATTACGGTTTTATGACAACTTAATATTAATACTAATAGAGCAATGCCATGTCTCAAAATTTTCCATTTATTTCTAAGATCTCTTGCGAAATAGAAGATCTCATGTGTTGTTTGTAGGCGCATCTTTGTTTGAGTTCACAACCCCTATTTCAATTGTAATCACAAAAAAGGAATATAAAATGAATGGATCGAGGTCTGTAAATGACGAATCGCACATGTACAACTAATTCCTATTCAAAAAACGGATTAATATGTGATTAACCTGTATATATAATTTGAATGCGCTAACAAAACTAGGATAATAAAAATATACTGTTTAAATCTGTAAATCATCGCTCTATTTCCATTTTGATTGTCTTTTTAATGATGCCCTGTCTTATGATCCGCAAAATGTAAATCAGGGATGCGGTTTTTTTATTAGTAATTCAGAACTGCGTAATAAGCGATATAGAACATACCAGAACTTTGGGGAAAGTTCATCATAGCAACAAAAATATTGGTTTATTAATAGATTTTCTGTCTTAGCGCCTTCAGCAAAAATGACGATTGCGGATGTCGGTGACGTATTACTGCGCCTAGCATATTCTGCGGATTCACATGAGCCAGTGACGTAATTATTGCGGATGACGTTTTACTATGCATCATATCTAAGCCACCCACATGATTCGAAAAAAAAAGAAATATACGAATTCGCATAATTCAGTCAATGCGAGTAATTGATTCGCCCAATAATTCTTCTAGGCGGTTACCGGAGAGATAATAGGATTCATCATTGGTGAGCTTTTTCTTTCGTATCTTCCGTCATGATAATAATAACCTCTATCACATTCACCATATTCATTATATCCACCGTAACCATTATATCCATCATCATCCGGCATCTCTTCTTCAGAATCGCTAGAATTGGAGTCATCATCGTCTGAAGTGGTGATGTTCACTTTAGTGGGATTCGCCTCATTGAAAAACATATTTTCATCAAACCACGAACCCTCCTCTTCCTTGGAATTATCAGAAGAATTAGAGGGATGGGCTAATGGAATAAGTGCAGTTGATTCCTTTGGAGACAAGACCTCCAATACATTATTCTGATCGGGAGTATTTTCAGGCAAATTTTTTCTGGGACATAATGTCTCAGAAATTTCAGTCACATGATCCGTTACCAGAGGTAATTTTTCCGAAGATATTCCATAATCTATAATATCTTGAATTTGCTCATTAGTAAGCTCTGAAATAGAAGTTGCACTATAAGATTTGATATACTTGATTTTATCTAGGTCCACTTGTTCGATAAATTTATAGACTTTCTCAGCTCTCTGGGTTTTTTTGCGTAAACTATCTCGTGATACATCTCGAAGCTGTAACCCCTTTTCTTGGGATCTCTGTTTACGAAGCAAATTAAGCTGTTTTGTAATGGAATCATACAGTAAGCCTCTTGCCTTCTTTTCACCGAATTTACCTCCACTACTTTCTATGATTCCATTGAGCTGAATTATGAAATCTTTCGCATAGAGGTACCAGCATAAAATTTCTTCCTGATTAGCTCGATTTGCTTTATCTTCAGCATCAAAAGCTTTATCGCATAACTGAGCTAGATGTTGTGAGGCCTCATCAATGCTAGATTTATCAGAGGTAACTTTTTCGGGACATAATGTCTCGGAAATTTCGGTCACATGATTTTGTTCTATTGATGGCTCTTGTGAAGACAACTCCGAAGCAAATAATTCTTGCTTAAGCTTGTCCACACTCTTCCCCTTCTTACACTTTGAATCCAGTTCGCTACATATCTTTTCTTCCGATGACGTGCTATTGCATGGCTGAGTGACCGAGTTGAGATCTTGAGACATTTTCTCTTCAGGATGTGTTGGAAGGGACTCTTGGGTTTGGCCGGAGGTGCTAAAGCAAAGTTTCTTTTCTCGATTTCTCTGCCTAATCTCATTACTAACCTTTTTCTTATACTCCTCATCCAAGAAAGCATCCGTTTCCTTGTCTTTAGGTAATGAAGTATCCACCAATGGTTTCTCGTGATGCGTTACCGTTGGCACCTGATCTGCAACTGAATTGAAGCTAGGTAAACTGTTGTTAGAAGAATTATCATTTAGCGACTGGTTTTGTTCCACTTTCGTGATTCTATCTCTAAGCTCAGCGCTCTCTTTAGTATTATTTTTCCTCAACTCCTCGATTGTGGCCCTGAGTTTGACATTTTCAGCATCACGCCTCGTTCTCTCTTTTTCAGTCATTCTTAGAGTCTCGGCAATCTTGCGTTTAAGTTCAGCTCTCTCAGCCTCAAAGTTAGCGAACTTCATTCTAAAATCAGTATTCTCCTTTCTAAGCTCTGCATTCTCCTTCCTGAGCTCTGTAATCTCAACATTCTCAGCCTCAAGTTCAGTGATACGCTGTTTCAATAATTCAAGCTCGGATGACATTTGCCAAGAAAAATTTTTATTAATATACATACATGCAAAAATAAATACAAGATCGGGACTTAGCCCGTGATACAACTGATACATGACGCTTCTATACTAAATGTCTAATGTATATCTCTACAGTCTAACTAACCACCTGACATTTACGTGACTTGGAAATTCGCCCCTCCTTCTTTACGAAATGTCTGTAAAATACATGATTATTAATTATAAGAAATTAGCCGTTAAGGCGCTTCGCAAGATTGCAAGAAATAGGAATTTGCGAAATAATAAATCTTACGTATTATATCTATCTAGCAAGTTAGAGTATTTGAGCTGTTCCTCCTTGAAAAGCTTTCTCTTCTTTTTTGTGTCCTCTCGACTTGCCATACCGAAGTCAATCAGATAGACGCCACCGTCATCGTTAATTAAGATGTTTTCCTCCCGAATGTCATTGTGGAGGATGCCATGCTTGTGGATCGCTTCTAATCCCTTAATAGCCCTTATTTTTTGCTGTTTCTTTATTTTTTGGTCGCTCAACGAAGTGCCGACAATAGTCATGCTGATAACGAAGCTCATACCTCCTCCATAATATCCATAACAGACCAACTTGGGGATATACTTGCCTTGAATATCAGCGAGGTCTTTATAAATCTCAACTTCTTTCTGCATTTCTTCCAGGACATACGAAGGGACCTTCGATAAGTCTGCACTCTTCAGAGCAATCATATCTCCACGAAATTCGCATAGGAGGGTTTTTCCACTTCGTCCTTCACCTAATATGCTCTTGAACTTGAAGTCTGAGAAGCTATAATTGTTCTGCTTAACAGAAGTGTTAGAAGATGATTGTTGATTCACAAAGGTACTGGAAGATTGTTGTTGATTTAATGAGGAGTTGGACGATGACTTTGAGTGTGACCGAAGAGTACGTGAATCATTGTCCCCTTGAACCGGTACTACTACTTGAGGTTTAGGAGACTTAGGATTCTCTTTCGCCTGTCGAGTTAGATATGCATACGCCTTGAGTACCGGTGGAGATTCGGATTTCAGTGGAAGGGTTTTTGAGATCCAAAGCTTTGCATGCTCTCGGCGTAGAAACCAGTGATTATCATAGGTGGTGAGAATACCATATCTAAGTTCGTTTCCTCCCATATAATTGTAGATTTGCTGAATTACATCCCCGCCTTTACTCGTCTGATAAAATTCGGGAAATTTTTCTTCGCCCATATCTTCTAAAACATGCTTTCTTTTAGCCTCAATCACTAAGATCAATGAACCCACGAGATGACAGTTGAAATCTGGTATGCCTGGAGTGTCAGTAGATTTTCTTGAATATACGTAGTCTGGTCCTGTAAGATCATTCAATACCATACATATATTGAAATTTATGGCATTACGAACATCCTCTTCATCGACTATAACAAATCTATCATCAAATCTCGGCCTCTCGAATATCGGCTGTTGGTCGAAGCGGAATTGATTCACTTTATCGAAAAAGTCGTCCCAAAGTTGCACACTTGCCGGCGGGTCACCTACAGCCTTAGTAGTGGTCTTCGAGGTAACGCAGTCTGTAGAATATGTTATCGGTGGCGGAATACACGACAACGCCTCTTCCAAGCTGAGAACTGGAAACGAATATGTGTTATTATTACTAGGGCAAATGACGAAAAATTAGCCGTTAGCCTTAAGCGCTTCGCAGGCGCTTTGCATAGACTATACCAGACACTTACGTGGCAATTTTACAATAACATGGATATGTTCTTCGGGAGGTGAGTCTGGGAAATATTTCGAAATCTTTCTTATTGCCAACAGCTCGTCACTGTCCTGGAGTATTAGATTTCTTAATTGATCATCCTGATCGCCAGGGATCGTCACCTTCCATAGCCTGAGCTTGTCTGCAGGAAAATTGTCGAACTCTGGTGCCTTTTCTGCCTTAATAACTTTTTTGAGGTGGCCTACAAGCTGGTCCTTATTAATATCGATAGGAAAAGCACTAGCGGTCTTATTTCCTTTAACGAGACATAGTAAAGTGATAGACATGTTTTCGGCTTTTATAGTATATTTTGCGAAATGTTATTGGCTCAAAAGGCGGTATGTGAGGACAAGAGTAAAAAGAATTTTATTTGCGAAAAAAATACTGAGGCAGGTATATGTGAGAAATTATTCTGTTTCACAAGCCTGCCGTATGATCAGCCACATTGCATCATAGGTGCAACTATCGCCTAATCACTGCGCCTCCCTAACCGTGAAGACTCTTCTCACATATCACCTGACATTTTTATATAGGCTAGATGCGCTTGTCGCTGTTCGGATAAAAATGTTAGATTTATGCTTTAGCATCTTTGACTAGTCCTGATATTACATGGACCGCACCATTACACGTGACCCATTTCTCATGTACAGTACAATAATAATAATACTTTATTTATGAAATAAAAATGTTGCCGGAAGTCGGCTTACAATACATAAAATTGCGAATATATCGCTAATACATGATATAAGAAATTATTCTGACCGGGGGTATACAGTGATATGGAAGTGCTCTGCTTTAAGCTCCTCAGTAAAATATTCGGAAAAAGGGGTACGACTATCCATTACCTTTTCACTATTGCTTCCAGCTTGAATTATACATAGTTTGAGTGGGATCTCAACCCCAATCTGCTTTGAATTTTAGCCTCGAGCATGATATAACTTTCATCTTTTTCAACTGTAATCGCCTGCATTACTTTAACACAAGGGATATTCATAAGTTTTCCTATAGGAACGATAAGACAATTGAGAGTGATTTCGTCCATTTTGTTTTCCTAAATACAAGGTACATAGTGAGAAAACTCGCCCTTGCACCGTACATACACAACTTCTGGCATATACATACCTTGATTATTTTTGCGGAAAGTTGGCTGAACTTCCACATACCTCTACATGCTTTATATCTTGCTGGGAAAAAGAGCGCCAAGCCGAAATTAAGGAGATAAGAATAGTGATTAGCATTGTCGTATGATGCCAAGAGTTCTATCACTGGTCAAAAACCAATATATCGGGTAGCAGATATGTATCAGATATGTACCCGATATGTGTAGTATTAATGCAGAAAATCGGGTACCCGATATGTGTAAGATATATGTAAATATATATATCATATATGTTGCTGTCTCTTATACACATCTAGATGTGTATAAGAGACAGGGTATAGGGCACCTTTATCGTTAATTAAGATATTTTCCTCCCGAATGTCATTGTGGAGGATGCCATGCTTGTGGATCGCTTCTAATCCCTTAATAGCCCTTGTCTTTTGCTGTTTCTTTATTTTTTGGTCGCTCAACGAAGTGCCGACAATAGTCATGCCGATAACGAAGCTCATACCTCCTCCATAATATCCATAACAGACCAACTTGGGGATATACTTGCCTTGAATATCAGCGAGGTCTTTATAAATCTCAACTTCTTTCTGCATTTCTTCCAGGACATACGAAGGGGCCTTCGATAAGTCTGCACTCTTCAGAGCAATCATATCTCCACGAAATTCGCATAGGAGGGTTTTCCCACTTCGTCCTTCACCTAATATGCTCTTGAACTTGAAGTCTGAGAAGCTATAATTGTTCTGCTTAACAGAAGTGTTAGAAGATAATTGTTGATTCGCAAAGGTGCTGGAAGATTGTTGTTGATTTAATGAGGAGTTGGACGATGACTTTGAGTGTGACCGAAGAGTACGTGAATCATTGTCCCCTTGAACCGGTACTACTACTTGAGGTTTAGGAGACTTAGGATTCTCTTTCGCCTGTCGAGTTAGATATGCATACGCCTTGAGTACCGGTGGAGATTCGGATTTCAGTGGAAGGGTTTTTGAGATCCAAAGCTTTGCATGCTCTCGGCGTAGAAACCAGTGATTATCATAGGTGGTGAGAATACCATATCTAAGTTCGTTTCCTCCCATATAATTGTAGATTTGCTGAATTACATCCCCGCCTTTACTCGTCTGATAAAATTCGGGAAATATTTCTTCGCCCATATCTTCTAAAACATGCTTTCTTTTAGCCTCAATCACTAAGATCAATGAACCCACGAGATGACAGTTGAAATCTGGTATGCCAGGAGTGTCAGTAGATTTTCTTGAATATACGTAGTCTGGTCCTGTAAGATCATTCAATACCATACATATATTGAAATTTATGGCATTACGAACATCCTCTTCATCGACTATAACAAATCTATCATCAAATCTCGGCCTCTCAAATATCGGCTGTTGGTCGAAGTGGAATTGATTCACTTTATCAAAAAAGTCGTCCCAAAGTTGCACACTTGCCGGCGGGTCACCTACAGCCTTAGTAGTGGTCTTCAAGGTAACGCAGTCTGGAAAATATGTTATAGGTGGTGGAATACACGACAACGCCTCTTCCAAGCTGAGAACTGGAAACGAATATGTGTTATTATTACTAGGGCAAATGACGAAAAATTAGCCGTTAAGGCGCTTTGCACAGACTATACCAGACACTTACGTGGCAATTTTACAATGACATGGATATGCTCCTCAGAGGTGAGTCTGGAAAATATTTCGAAATCTTTTTTGTTGCAAGGGGTCAGATTGCTTAAGAGATCGTCGCGATCATCAGGAATTTCCTTTTTCCATAGCTTAAGCCCGTCTGCGGGAAAATTGTCAAACTTGGGTGCTTTTTTCGCCTTAATAGCGTCCTTGAGGTGTCCAACAAGCTGGTCCTTATTAATATCGACAGGAAAAGCGTTCGCTAGAGTATTTCCTTTAACGAGGCAAAGCAAAGTGATAAACATGTTTCAGCTTTTATAGTATTTTTGGTGAAATATTATTGGTGCAAACTAGCATAAGTGAGGATGAATTTTATTTGCGAAAAAAATACTGAGGGAGCTGTGTAATTTTGTCGTACTTTGATTTGGTGATCACTTCTGGATCGGATTCCACCCTGAAGATCATTCCAGCATTTGAGACGATAAATTCGTTCTCCGCAATAGTTACCGCAACCCATTTACCCAATAATTCACTACATTCATGATCAGCGATAGGCAAACGATATTCAGAAAAAGAGAGCTAGATATAAATTGTTGCTTTATTTCTTTTTCCAAGAAGAGAAAAGGGTTTTTTCTTTATGATCTCCATTGTATATAGATTAGATCTGTCACTATTCCTTAAAAATAAGGAAAGCGCTCTAAAACTAACCCATGATATGTTTTCGTGTTTCTTCTGGATCATTAGTTAAAATAGAGTCGGGTTTTGTTAGATTTACTTACCTGACCGGAGGAGGAAACTGTTACCGAAGTCACATGATTTGGATCGTTACTGATGGTAACGGTTTTCCAAGTCTTTCCAAATTTTCCGACTCATGATTAGTCTTTAATTTATTTTTTATATTTAATTCACTCTTTTTTACGTACATAAATTTTTTTTATGACAATATCGAAAATAATAAAATCTTTTATTTATAGCTATGAATTATTACAAAATGATACCATTTCATGCTAACAATTTTCTATTTTACAAAACCAGAATTTGTCTTGGCAGTCACATCAGTACATGTATTATTATTTACAGTGAATATAAGATTCTCATCACTACGAAAACGTTCAAGTGACATAAATTTTTCATTAAAATCTTCAAGGCCGTTGAAATTAATTTCAAGGGTATGAGAAACCTTGGGACACATAACCAGCTTAGGCTTAATGTCTATCAATTTATTGACTACGCCAACGGCAGTAAAGTTAAAGCGTAATACTTGAGTTATTTTGACACTGAACCCACACATTTTTTCACCAATAAGCCATTTACTAGTGTGATTCCCAGGTTCAAATTGAACCTGATCAGGAGACCTTTTTCCATATTCATACGTCCAATAATCCCCGGTAATACAAGAACCCCCAGTTTTCAAGCGCCATTCGTCTGATATAATCTTGGTACTTTCAGATTTTTTCATTAGGAATCCGACCTTTGATGATGCCCCAAGATCTAGACTACTTTGCTTCTCAGTACCTACTAAACTTTCAACAGTACGATTTTTCATTTTTGGAGAGTAATATTCTAGCTCATATAGTGGACTTCTGTTATTAGTTGCATCTGTAATCGGAAAAAAGCTAATTGTAACAGATTCAAGATAATAACCACTACCTAAATTGGAAAGTTGCTTCCAATTTTGATTAAGCAATTGACCTGCTCTACATTCAGATATATCAGCACTGATTAAAAGCATTCGATTAGATTCATCATCATTATAAATATTTGCATGGAAATGAACACGGATACCAAATATTTGAACGTGACCTTCACTTTCAACAGATGCTCCAGAAGAAACTTTAATGACTTTTCTCCTTTTAATATCACTGCTACGGCCACCATCATCGCCACCACCACCACCACCACCGCCATCATCATCACTATCACCATCACCATAATCTTTATCATCATCTTCATCTTCATCATTTTCTCCCTTTCCAAATCTTTGTCTTTTCTTATCATTTGACTTATTTCCACCAGCTCTACCGGGTCCTCCTGAAGTACTACCACCGCCACTGTTACTTTTGCAATCGGCTGTTTCTATCATTTCGTATACAACTTTAAATTCACCATCATATATTCCCCCAAGTTGCTCTAGAGTTGATTCGCTTAAGGGCGCTGTTACCCAACAGGTAATGCACGGAAAGTTATAATCTCCATGAAAGCTGGGACCGATATAATATACTGGTTGCGATTTCAGTACACGGTCAATACAATCTTTCTTATCAACGAGTAATTTATGTAACTGTTCAACTTCAACGTGCTTATCAGCTGAGGGTCCGTAAGAAATGGTCGCATCTACTGTGAAAAATTTCGAGGAAACAGTAGGATTTACACTACTTTTAATACTAGGCGGGCAAAGACGAATTCTATTATAGATAATGTCATTGGCATCATGTTTTTCTGTTTTTGCCATTTTTTCAAGTGAGATCGCTTCATTATGTTTTTTTTCTCTCTCTAACGTTAGATCAATTAGATCTGTATCTTTTAAATTTCTGTTAAGCATGCGATGACGAAAGTCTTGCCAGATAAACTTTTCTTTCGACTCTGATAATTCGATCGATAAGTTTTTCCAATGATCGCTTTCTATGTTGTTATATGGCGAAATTGCAAGTTTAATGAACTTAGAAAATGAGTCCAAAAAATATTCTTTTAAAACCTTTGTGCATTTGATTTGAAATGTATTAGATATATTAACAATTGTACCCTCTAAGCAAGTATTATTATCATTGTAGATAATTTTATCACCAACAACGATCTTGTTTTCACTAACACATTTCTTGAAGGTAAAACGACCAGAAGGTGGATCGATGACAATATAGTGTTCCCCAGTATCAAAACACTCAGAGATAAGCTTTGTTGAAGGCAACTCTTCACCTCCTAGAAACGTCTTAATGTTGACGAAAGAATTAGATTCTATGAGGGCTAGTTTGTCACTTAGCGTGCCAAGGGGAAGATCTATCTTTATAATATTGAGTCCGTCTTCGCCAAAACCAATGTTTCTTTTCTTGATTGTTTCCACGAGATTTCTGACTGTCTCATTTTCTTTAATTTTGATTTTAAAAATGTCTTCGTAAGAATAATCGTCTACAAACAAGCAGTTTATAAGAATTGTAGCCATTTTTTGTTGTATAAAATCAAAAAGCCTGGTGGAGGAACTGGTGGTGCTCTGTGCTCCAGGATAAAAATAAATCACAGAACAATCTGGAAATTTACGTTTAAACTTATGTCATATAATGATCTATTACATTTTCATTGGTAATACATTATCAGAATTGCTGAATTTTGATCACGTGCGCGTTACAACAATTTGTAACGCAGATATGAAAATACTTTTATTAAAAGTGAAAAAAATTTTCGATGCAAATGAATTTTCAGTAAAAAACCGAAGATAGCGAATTAAATGTATGATGCTATCTAGTATAGTAAAAGAGTGTGTGGGTGAGAATCAATAGAAGTTCTATCTATATTCCCCCAAACATACAAAATATTATTTCTCGAAAGAGAACTTCTCTGAGATTAAGAAGTTTCGAACCTATAGTATAATTACGAAAGTATTAGCAATGAGGTAAAAAAAAATAATACAATAATGATTTACACTTACCATCACGATTCATTTTCACATAATTCCATTCCGCCTCATACACAAGATATTTATTGCTTAATTTTTTCTGCGTTATCGCCAGTACGATACTGCGCAAAGTTTTAAGAATTTGGCACGTGAAGATGCTTATATAAGATAAATTTTTTGATGCACCAGACTTTTGCTGTGCCATTGCATGTGACGAGATTCATGTGAGTAATTTCACTGCGTCTATTGTACGCGTGATGACGGTCAGTGATTTTCTCGGCGAAGATCAGAATGCCGATACATAGCAAGAAGAGTAATATATCCGTTTTATTTTGGAACATCTATAGAGACAGAAAAATCGATTAACATCGTAATGACATGTCTCAAGAAGTTAGCCGAGCAATAAACAACTTACTTTATTATTACTTTGCGGAAAATACGAGTTCGCTTGATTGTTAATATCAATGATGCAAATAATGGTAAGTTAGATTGGTTTTATTAGTTTTATTTGATTTTTATTTTACTTGCATGAGGCGGATAAAAAGATTCACTAATTAGGACATCATCTTTTTATATAATTTACAGGATCGATTTTGGAATACGCTTTTGGGGAAATTACGTTAATATGATTGCATCACGAAAATCTGATCAACCACCTCTCCTTAATTTAACAATAAAAGAATTTAACGCTATCCATATTTAAAGATCATCAAGGGGCCTTTCTTTAACAATATACGTAAGAATTTTGAGAATATGCGAGAAGGTTTGAGAATAAATTATTATGCGCAGTTTCTTGTTCCCGTGATACATGAATGATACTGTGCATTTATCGGTTTCTTGGATCAATGATTTTGTTACAATAAACTTGATCGAAAAAAATATTAGCATACATGCTTCCCACAACCCCATAACTAGTAAATTTGGTCTTTGCTTTACTGATTGTACAAGAAAAAAAGTACATAATACAGGCTACATGATGACACTACTTAAACTAAAAATTTTCATGTGAACGACTGCTAGCCTTCCGTGATACTAATACATTTTTCGAAATCCTAAATGAAAAAAATTGTCTATTAGCTTGTTTCTTCCTTGCAAATGCATAACACAACCGAAAGTAAATCCATCTTAACTGGATAAATATCTTGTCCGGAAGTAATATTTTTTTTTCGCCAGCATTTTTTCATACTGCTTATTATCTTTCGTCACTGCGCTGGGTGATAGTCTCTCACATGACTGGTCTAAGCCACAATTGCGAACTTTAGTTTATTGCTTGAAGTGTTGCAGGTAAGACAATATTCCAACTTATCTTGAGAATAGAACTTCGCTAATTCAGGATCATAAGGGAACTGATTCCCATCTTCGCAGTACCACTTGCCATGTAATCCATAATTCCCATGTATTCTATCGCAAATAGGACATGGTGAGCTCCGCGGCTGAGGTGATGTAAAATTATAATTATCAATCCCTCTAAAACTATTTCCGAATTTCAAGTATGGGAAGTGCTCTAAGACAGATTTGATAATCAATTCTGGATCGGGTTTGGTTTCATAAGTGATAGGCCCTTTTTCTTCACATTGCTCACCGGAGGAGGGAAAAGATAAATTGGATACTTTGTTTTCTGGCTTTGAATTTATGAGGCGATCTTCTGATAATTGCCATGGCTCATACCCAGTTTCTTTTTTATATTTTTTGTATAAGCTGGACTGAATCCTATCTGTCAAAACACTTGGTAACCCAGTTAATTTGGCATGCCAATCCAGGTATTCGGGAGTTAATATTTTATTGGATTTGCTCATGTTTCCTTTTTTCTATGATCACAGATCAATTTAAATCCCCGGATAGAAAGCTGTCTAATATTTCTTATCATATTTCCAAAAAAAATAATTAGAGGCCCAGAGGGTGGGATCATCTTTCGAAGTATCTATGATATAAGAAAGGGTAATGAGACTATGCAGTTATCTCAATTTCACGCTGTTCACATTTAATAAAGTAAGATCCGGATTTATACATACCATCTATACCTTTCTCATCATCATGATCTAACTTGCATAATGGGCATAATGTCTCGTCATTAATTCCATAATAATCAAAATCTTCACTACTAAATTCTCTATATAAATTAGGATATTGATCCAATGTCTTGTTGCGAAAATAGGAACGGTCATGGACTAGAGTCTCGGGTTGAGGAATAGGTGGCACCACCTTTACCTTGGCATCCAATTTTTTCGAGCTGGAGGAATCACCTGAAGAATTGGAGACATGAGTTAATGGAATAGGTGCAGTTGGGATGCTTACCTCAGCCTGCGTTGCTAAAACCAAGGGTTTTGCTTGCTCCTCCAATACATTATCCTGATCATTCGAAATATCCTCTTCGAAATCGATAATAGTGCCATCCCGATCATCTGGTAATTCAGTGTTTGGATTTTTGGAGAAATAATCAACAATAGTTTGAATTTGACTATCAGATAATTCTGATATAGAATTCGCACTATACGTTGTGATATACTTAATTTTATCAATTCCTATTTTCTCAAATAATTTGTATATGTCTCTTGCTCTCTGAGTTTGTTTTAGTAATGTATTACGTTTAGTACCAGGACGAAGGAGTTTAATAAGATTGTCATAAATCATACCTTTCGCTTTTTTCTCGCCAATTTTATACTCGGTCATAAACTCTGTGGTCTTTTTATTGAATTCTACAATATAGGAACACCAACACAATAATTCTTTTTGGTTAGCTAGAATTGCTTCATCTTTCGCATCCCATGCTTCTTGGATTAAGCAGGCTAGATTTTGTAATATATTTGGGGGATTATCCATATCAGATTTTTCGTGACGGGCCGTCATGGAAATTTCAGTCATATGATTTTTCTCAGGTGCCGAAGTGGCTGTGAAATCAAACACATCCTGTACAATATTCTCCGCTTCCCTCTTCTTATGTGATTGAGATTTTTCGTCCTTTATTACAGAAGAGGTGGTCTCATTTGAAACACCAGATAAGTCCTGGGTAGCTGATTCATGCAACAATTTCTTTTCCCTATTCCTCTCCCTAAACCCATCACTAACGCTTTTCTTAAATGTCTCATCTAAGAAAGTGTCCATTGACTCGATGTCCGCGTTATCAGCTACATGCTGGTCTATTACAAGATCAGGTATATCATTCGAAGCGAAGCGTCTCTCGGGCTTAGCTGAAGATATATCTTCTTCAAGAGAGCATGAGTTCTGCACATTAGTAACATGCTGGGGTTGCTGAGGCCTCGTGAGGTTGGAGGAATCGAAATCATGTCTTAATTTGGCTAATTCGGCTTTAAGCTCAGCATTTTCGGCTGAAATATCTGCACTATTTTTCTCCAATTCCTCGATTCTGACCTTGTGTTCGGCATTCTCAGCATCACGCCTGGCATTCTCCTCAATAATCCGTTTCAATTTCGCATTCTCATTCTTAAG